GCGGGGAGCACGGAGCTCATGGCCCGGCAGCCCCGACCCCCGCCGCGGCCCGGCGCTGCGCCTCCGCCGCCCCGAGCGCTGGCACCAGCGGGGCGGAGACGGGGCGGGGACAGCCCTTAACTCCTTGGGAACCGCCGCCGCCGCCCGGACCTGCCGGTGACACCCCCCCCACCACCACCACCCTCCCACCACGGCGGGGGTCTCGGACGACCCGGACGGTGTCCGGCGTGTGCCCCTGCAGGGTCCGTGGCATCTCTCTATGCGCCCGCATGGGCTACGGCGACGTGAGCTGATCTGCTTCTACCCTGGGCCCGGCCTGGGTGCTCCATGTAGATGTAGGACTTTCTTTCTCCCTCCCCTCGGTTCCCACCTGGATGCTCCTTGTAGATGCAGAACTCTCTGTCTGCCCTGAGTCCCACCTGGATGCTCCCTGTAGATGCAGGACTTTCTTTCTCCCTCCCCTTGGTCCCACCTGGATGCTCCTTGTAGATGCAGAACTCTCTGTCTGCCCTGAGTCCCACCTGGATGCTCCCTGTAGATGCAGGACTTTCTTTCTCCCTCCCTTCGGTCCCACCTGGATGCTCCTGTAGATGCAGAACTTTCTCCCTCCCTTCAGTCCCACCTGGATGCTCCCTGTAGATGCAGAACTCTCTGTCTGCCCAGAAGTCCCACCTGGATGCTCATTGTAGACATGGGACTCCCTTTCTCCTCGTAGCACCCAGTCTCTGAGCGGGTGGGCCAAGGGTGCGGGGACCTGATCTCCCCATATATCTAGCCCCACTTCTTCCAGCCTTGTGTGTCCCATTTTCCCCATACAAGCAGCCACTGCTAGGATGGGTCCCACCAGTACAGGCTCGGATGTCTCCTCACGGCTGTCACTAGGCTGGATGGATGCTGTGGATGTGGGGCTCTGATTGTCCCCGTGCACCCACCCCTGCCAGGACCCCTGGAGTCTGTTCTCCTAGAAACAGGGAAGTGCAGCCTTTCCATGACAGTATCCCCAGTGCCCGTTGCACCCCTTTGCTCTTCTCCTTTTCCTGAGCTCTTCCACTTTTCCCCGGTTTCCTCCTCCTTCCTGCTCCCCCTGGACTTTTCCCTGCTCTGCTGATCATCTGTCTTGTCCTTCCTGCCCAGGGACTCTCTGCAGCTGGATGTGCCCTTGCTCTGTCCCAGACATTTCGCTGCTGTTCTCCTTGACGTCCACCTGCCCGTGCTGGTCCAGCCCTGCCCGAGCCACCTCCCCAGCTGCTGCCCCGACCCTCCTCTGCTGCCCAGCCGCCCTGGCACTGCTCTGCTCCAGCTGTTTGTTTCCCTGTGCAGTAATGCTGGCTCCACATCCCCTGCTGGGAAAAGCAGCCACATGGAGTGTCTCCCGCTGTGGCAGTTTTTTGGCCAGTGCTCGGCTCCAGGTGCCACCAAACACAGCGTAAACCCCATGGACCATGAGCCCTGGGATTTTTTTTTTGTTTTGTTTTGGTTTGGTTTGTTTTTCTTGTGCTAGGAGGGAGAGTAACTCTGTGGGCTCAGGCACATGAACTGAGCCTCCGGCTTCTTTGTAGTGGGAGCAGCCCCCTGTGACCCCCCCCCTCGAAATGCATGGTATTTCTGCTCTTTTACAGAAGGGAGTGGGTCTGTGCAGGGCAAGTTTCCTACACATAGGGAGGCAGAGCCTTGTCCCAAGCACTGCCTGGTAGGGTCTGAGCCATCCCGTTCCTCACCACTACTGCTCCAGCCTGGTGCCTCTGCCTGCTGGGGTGACTGATGGTGTGTGCTGGGGAGGGTGGTGCAGCCGTGGGGCACCTCTCTGTCCAACAGGCCACATTCCAGAGCTTCCCAGGCCTCCTGCATCTGTCCCACTGACAAAAGCCCGACAGAATGACAGGAGCAGCTTCCTGGGCCTCCTGTGATGGGCACGGAGAGGAGAGACCAGTGTCTGCGTGTGGGGACAGGAAGCTGCAGACTCTGCCCTTCCACCACGATGGCCAGCTGCTGGGATGGCAGTGGGTGCCTTCCCTGCCTGCTCTGGTACCCAAAATCTGAGCACCCTGCTGTACCCACAGACCAGCAACCAGCTCCTTAGTGGTGTAAGGAGACATTCAAAGCAAAACCAGCTTAGCTGGAGGGAGAAGGAGAGCAATGTTGCCTCTCCTTTTCCCTTGAGTGGACATTAGTAGTTGTCCCCTGAGGGACAAGGCACCGCAGCAGAGATGGAGAGTCCTGGTGAGGCATCTTGCAGAGAGAAGCTCAGGACCACTGCCTGTTCAGGGCTCCTGCTGCTTACAAGTGACTGGGTTTACATCCAATTAAGTTGTAACGGATAAATTAAAGCCCTGGAGACGGCCCTGACTGTGGAAATTGCTGCTACAGGATTTACCATCCCTTCTCTCATCAGCACTGGTAACTCTACTGTGCTATTTCCACCACGGTCTGTTCCTGCCTGCCTGGACAGAAGTGTTGAGCTGAGATATGGCTAAAGGTCCCCGGTGTCCCAAATCCCTCCCGTGCTGCAGGCAGGGACACTGGGCAGCTGGGTGCACAGCCAGGCTGGGCTGAGCCTGCAGCAAACCCTGAATTAAGCTCCTCAAGCCCTGGTGAGGAAGAGCAGGAAGATCTGCCTGGCTCTGCTTTGCTTCTGTGAAGCTGCAGAGGGGGAGAGGAAGGGGGCTTTGCCCTCTTTGCCCTTCTCTGTCTGGGCTCTGCACCCTCCCCCTCTCACAGGGAGAAGGCTCAGGGATTAACAAGCATCTTCTCCCTGCCAGCTGGGAAGGTGTATCACCCAGGCAGAGCAGAGGCAAGATCCTTCAGACAGCCCAGGGAGGCTGGTGCTGGAGAGGTGCAGGGGCTGGGGGTGTCCTGTAAGGATTGGGGCACACCATGGCCGTGAGGCAGTGAGGATGTGTGCAGGGCAGTGAGGGATGCATCCATGCAGAAAGCCTGGTGCTCGCTGCAACCCTACCTCTGTTCCCCACCAGCACCTGTGGCACCGGGTCCCTACAGCACATCTCTGGTTGGGATCAGCCAACAGGAACCTACCCTGACCAAAGGCCTGCCCTGCTGAGAGCCCCAGGGCCAGAACTGGAGCAATCACCTCCTCTGCACTCACGTGTGTGAGAGCCCATCGATACCTGAAGCTTCTTTTCTGCAAACACTAAGGAAAATCAATGGCTGCTGTTGTGGGGAGGTCCAGGAATGGCTGCAGGGAGTGAGTGTGTGAAACTGTGCCAGAGCTGGCACCAGGCTTCATTTCAGGAGGGTTTTCCAGCTTGGAGGTGCTGTGCACACCCAGAGCTGAGCAGGACAAGGAGCATCAACTGACTCAAATGACTTAACAGCCTTTTGTGCCTGCTCCCAGAATTGGGTGCAGCCTCTTGGTCCTAGGCAAACTCTCACCCTTGTTCCCTGACAGCCTCTGCTCTTTCCCCACTTTACCACACATCACTAAGCAGATCTCCACACCTACCTGTGTCCAGCATGTTCCCTGTCCCCCTGCTTGCTAGAGGGGCCAGTCCTTGACACACACCTCCCTCTTCTGCCCTGTAGAAAGCAGGAGATGGGGACACAGCAGGGTCTGTTGCAACCTGCTAGGAGGCTTGGTCAGTGTGAGGAACCCTGAGTGCAGGGGAGAAGGTTCCAGCCCCAGTAGCTGATGTGCAGTCTGGTGATGCCCAACAGTCCACATTAGAGGTGCTGCAGCAGGACTACGTTTCCCAGCGCACTGTGTGCTGCGGGGCCATACACCCTCTGCTCCCACCACCACGGCTGCAGGCTGTGCAGCCCACCTCCAGCTGCGAGCAGGGGCTGTCGAGGTCCTACTGCTGCTGTTCAGGCATGTAGCTGCCCTCCCCGTTCCCTTCATGGCGCTCCAGGCCAAAGCAGGGCTGTGTGCGGTGGGAGGGCAGCAAATAATTGTCGTGTCATTGATCTTCTGCAAGCGGAGTCAGCATAGCACCTGGCAGCATTTGCTTACTGCCTCCTATTATTTTCTGTCCACGCTTCCCGTGCTGGGGTGCCAGCACCATGACCTCTGTGGAGGCAGCATCTGCATCCCATCCCTGTCTCTTAGATGTGGGCAGTGATTTCGGCTCCCTGCTCTGCTTTGCCTCAGACAAGCCGTGGTGCCCCTGCCAGGGTGCACACCAGGGTGGCAGGAGATTGAGCAGCCGATGCCTGAAGGCAGCTGAGTACGTACCTGCTGGAAGCCCTGTGAGCTGTGAATTTGAAAAGACTCAGAACACTGATTTAAAAAAAACAAACCCTACTATCTCTGAAAAGGAGGCACAAGCAGCTCTTAACAAGCAGCCATGTGAGGACAAGTACATCCTTGCAGTGAACCAGTGCTGCAGAGAGCTTTGCTGGTCACCAGGAGCTGGTCGCCTTGTGCCAAACAGGCAGGGGCAGTGCGACCATCTCCAGCACGTCCCACCCTGCTCCTGAGCCAGCCTGAACAGCTTATCTCCCAATACATGCCACGCTCCCATCCTCCAAGGCTGCCCAGCAGGTAACAGGGCTGCTGCTTGCCTTCTTGGCCTGGCCCTGGGCAATGGGCCTCTCAGCAGCTCCACGCTTGTCCCAGGAGGTGTGCCAGCCTTGCTCCATCTCCTGCCCTGTGCCAGGCTATTAATAATACTCCCCAGCCACAGCGCAGCGTCCCTGAAGTGCCTGTGGTTCCACCAGACGTAAGAGATGCCAAGAACCTGGTCTGGCTGCAGTGGTGGGCTGAGCGGGACCACATCAGAGCAGCTCCAGGACTGACCTTGGTTGAACTGGTGGAAGCAGCCCTGTCACCCACAGCACAGGTTGCAGGAGAGCAGGGCAGGGAGCAGGGCTGGGAGTGCTCAGTGGCCTATGGCTTTAGGGAAGAGCCTCCACCTGTGGTTCATTGCTGCTCTTTGATCTGCACGGCTTGACGTTCCTGCAGGGAGGAACTCGGAAACAGCACAGCAATGTGGAGAGAGAGGCCAGTGAGGGCATGCATAGCTCAGCACAGTGCCTGCCAGAGACCCTGCAGAACAAACCCACATGCACAGTCCAGCCCAGAGACCCCACATTAACAAACTAAAATCCTCAGCCTTGCCCTGGCTTGCTTTCCTCTCCCAGAGCTGACAAAGGAAAACCTTCTGGAGGAAAGCAATGCATCAAGCTGGAGAGCTATTCCTTTCTGAGCTCTGAGTTTCTGTTTGGGAATGACACATCCCACCCTGGCCACAGCAGCATGGGCAAGAGAGGTGCTTCCAGCCCCTTCTGCCCTCTTGCCCCCAGGCAGAGACTGTG